TTCTTCTCTAGAGCGAGGTTCTCCATAGATGGCTTAAGTTTCCTACAAACAACCAGTCGTAAGCCCTTAATGAAGGTGGACCGATAATGATACACTTAACCGCATACAGGAGTGTGGGTGGGCTTGCCCATCACTCCTGATCATGGCGCCCGATGCCCAGAGCGATTATGGGCAACCCACTCGCACGTAGGAATTCGGTACAGTATAACAAACAGAAGCACGAGCGAATCGGCCACCAGGTGCAAAGCTCACTAAAAGTGGTGTCTCTTGACTGCAGTTTTACGGACCGCCTTGACGCGCGGAGCGCGCTGCTATCAGTGGCCGACTGCCCTTGCCCCCGCAGAGCAGAGCCCCCCTCGAGACCCCCCGGGGGGTGGGAGGGGGCTCCTCTGGAAGGGGCGTGCGGGGGCGTGCGTACTGTAGCGAGACGGGCAGCTGCTGCTGCTGCAGGCCTCCTCTAGCCGCGCCCGGGGTGTTGTAGTGCATTTCCTGCAGGGTAGCCGTATAAAAGCTTGCAGTGGTCAGAGACCGAATATCAGTCACAGCCTCAAGCTCCTCCAGCCAACAACAGCAGCAGCAGCACCAGCAGGAGACATGGCCGGAATCAGCAAGGTGAGCACCTGCGGCACCCTCCAGCAGAGCGTCTGCCTGGCCGCCTGCCCGCACCTCTCACAGGCCCGGCCGTCTTCTTCTCGTTCGAGCAGGTTACCCTCGTGAGCTTGGCGCTGGCCGCCCTCCTGGCCGTGGCGCTCGCCGGCGGCCACGCCGACAGCTACATCCACATCGTGCACGACAACCATGGCCACCACGGCTACGAGCCCTCCTACCATCACGAGGAGTACCACCACGTAAGTACACGACGAGCCGTACCCGGCCCTGCCTCACCTCCTGCGCCCAGCGCGGCGCGGCCACTGACCAACACTGTCCCTTCCAGGAGCCGTCGCCATACTCCTACAAGTACGGCGTGCACGACGCCCACACCGGCGACGTCAAGAGCGCCTCCGAGTCCAGCCACGGCGGCGTGGTCAAGGGCGAGTACTCGCTGGTGCAGCCCGACGGCGTCACCCGCACCGTGCACTACACCGCCGACAAGCACAACGGCTTCAACGCCCACGTGTCGCTCCACGGCCACGCCCACCACGGCCACCACTACTAGGAGGGTGCCGCGGGGGGCCTCCTCCTCCCCCGAGGCACGAGGCCCCCGCCGACTGCTGCCTCTGTGATACCGGCGGGCTCAGGCTGACGCCGCCGCCCCGGCAACAGCGGACCTCATTACCGCCTCCAACACGACGATATTAGCTCCTCGCTCTATATTTTTGTAATAAACGGCTTCCGAGACTGACTGTAAGTCTGTGTTGTGTGTCTCAGCACCCCCCCCCCCATTCCTCTCTCTCTCTCTCTCTCTCTCCCTCGTTTTCTCTACCCTCCACTCTTCCCCCCATCCCAGTTAACTCTCCCCCACCCCCTCATTTCCAGCAATCCCTCCCCCGGATTATTTCGACACTTACTTTTAAGCAACATCATATATGAGCGACGGCTGCACGGCAGCGGGACGCAGTGGGTTGCAGCTGCAGTAGCAGCAGCTGCCCCAGCAGCGCTTCTCCGAGCGTGGCGCTGGGCGATAGCATGGCGATAATGGCGCTTGCTAGCGAGCGAGAGCCTCCGGAATCGATCCAACGATACTTCCAGCATCATACTTCCAGAAGAGGCTGCGAGGCCTGCACTTTCTGCACTAAATTTTGGGATTCACAACGGTAATACTTACGACAATCTTGCAGCGTCTTTCAGGCAATGGAGAATTTTGCAATACGTCGTCACTCCACGGCAGGACTCTCTGTGTCCTTGCGTTGAAGTCTCTTGTGCATCGTCATACTCTTGCTGGTGCGTTACTTGAACACGTTGCAAACGCCATAGAGTGGCGCTGTCGATGGCCTGAGCTGGGCCGAGGGGTACTTCACTAAAGAAACAAACAAACCTTATTTTGGAAAAAAATAGGAAAAATATCAATTAAATATTCAGGAAAATCAGAAAAAAATCTAGAAATTTTTTAAAATGTCAAGAAAAATTAAGGAAAAAGAGAAAAATCTGTGTACGCTTGAATTTCTAGTGAAGTGCCCGTCGGGCCGCGCGCTCGGCGTGCAATGTCCGGCGCCTCCGCTGATTAGCATCGCGGGTGATGATGGAAGTGCCGCTCACCTCGGCCGGCCGGACGGGCCGCCGCCGCCCAGGGCGTGTACTACGCGCGCGATAGTGCAGCTGATGGCGTTGTGGCGGATATGCACCCGCTGCACATCGCGCAGCAGCTTATTATGCGCCTTAAAACGCTCGGCTCTTCCTCGACACACTGCCGCGCGGAGGGAGGACGCAGGATCATCGCAGCAAAGCTATATGGTGTTGTCTCGGTACTGCTGTATGCAGTGGCAGGGGTTCCGGAAAGACGGGGTTACATCGAACAGTGAGTCATGTATTTACAAAAACTAAAAGATTGTGAGGGCGCGGGTACAGAACGTCCGCCGGTCAATAACTAAACATTCGGCACAGTCCACGACGGCGTGGCCTGCCTCGTCCTGCTCTACGCGCACGTAGGGTAAAGGGTACAGGTGATAGGGAATCGAGGAGTTTGGGATCTGTGCTTCTGCGCACACTGTGCAGGACTCAACCTCGGACTCGCCATGTCTCCCAAGTAGATACGGGGCGAAGATGAAGTCGCTGCCTTCGCCTTTGGCACAGCGGCTGACGACGTGCAGCGACCGCGGTGCGCGCAGCACGAGGTCGGCGAGGATGGCCTCCCGGCAGACTGCGACTGCGGGCCGAGGACACGAACGTTACAGACGTGTGTGCCGAGTGCCAGGTCCGATACACAGCAGTGCTGCGGGTTTGCCTACGCCCTTCGCCCGCAAGGCCCATGTGGCCCCAAAGGATTGACAAAACCGCACCGCTGCCGTGTCTTCAAACGAGTACGGCAACGACAAAACAAAGTCACCCCCTCTCCCGTTCCCGGCCTTGACGCGTCATTATAAAGAATCAAATATTGAAACAACAACCCCTGCCAAAGACAATACATTAAATGAACAAGAGTACGTGGTTTACCTCGTTGTTCCGAGGAGCAGTGTGGCGTCTTGTCCTTGTCCCCGCTGCACCTGTGACACACCAATGTGAGCAGGCTGAGGGCGGGGATGGCGTCGGCGGGGAGGTCACGCAGCATCTGGAGCGACGGGGCCGGGTCCAGGACGAGCGAGTGCGTCTCGCAGCCCAGCAGCACGCTCATCGCCTCAGGGGAGGGCACGTTGTGGAGAGTGAGGGAGCGCCGCGGGCAAGTCCACGATAGCACGGCTCTCGCCACCTGAGGACATGACGAACGACGACGTGAAACGTGACCTGACCCTGCGGGCAGGGGACAGTATACTGAACTGACAGGTCACAGTAGTACGTACCAACTCTGCGAATTGCGCAGCGTAGGCCACAAATCTGATTTCCAGCTCATTTCCGTTCGTCACACTCAGCGTTGCGACCGCTTGACACCATTTGTAGGCCACGGGGCTCTTGTGGGTGACGGAGAGCTTTGGGATGTCCTGGGGCAGCGCGCCGATGAGGAGCGGGAGTTGTTCCACCTCCACCGTCACGTCGGCCAGCTGCCCGCTGTGACAGATGGAATGAGCACCGTGATACAGCCGGATTGGGCTGGGTGGGGATTGTGGATTGTGCGAAGTAGTCACCTATGTGCTCGCAGAAGCGACTCGAAGACGGCCGCAGACGTGACTCGCGAGGAGCTCGGCGGGGGCGGCGGGAGGTCTGGCTGGCGCTTGCTCTGGCAGCGCCTCTGTACTGCGGCCGTTCGGACCAGGGACACCTTGGTGAGGTGCGGGAGCACGACCTCCTGCGAACAAACAAGATCACGGTAGCGGCCAGCCCGCCGTGCAAGCTGTTGGCGCGGTGGGCGGCCAACCGCAGCAGGGCGCTTACCTGGGGCCAAGTGAATTCCGTGGTGAACTCCCAGACATACAGGGCTAGAGACTCCAAGGAGCGAGCCTCTAGCAGGCAGGCGAGGATCTGGTCAAGGCCTTTCTCGCGACCCTCCTCTTGGTCCACACGTCTTTGCCAGAAATCCCTGGTATCCTAGCAAAATACATTTTAACACGTTTGAGCGCTGTTGAGTGACACGGAGTGTGCGCAGAAGGCGATACTGTAGTCTACAGAGAAATAGAGCATGTTTTGAAAATCCTATTTTATACTGAACTCAACCTTGATAATCAGTTAATAGTAGCAAATTTCTATCTTTTTAAAAAAGTGCATGCATTGAGGGTGCCATAAATAAAGCAAATCCTTTCCGTTACTCCCCCTGCACCTTACTAAGTGTTCAATAATTGTAATTACAGTTTAGTAGAGTGACAAATTTGTAACACAGAATGGGTGTTAAACATACGCATGAATCTCTATTTTCATCTTGTTTTTTAAATCAATTTTAAGGTTTTCTTTCAAGAAAATCAGTTAAAGTCAAGAGCAGAAAATAGCAACTAAAAGAAAAAGCTTGGAAAAACAGGTTTGGAAATTGTCTGATTTGGTGAGCCCTCTCTATTACCTCATTTATAGACAGGTGCTTGGCCTCGCGGGCAACTTCCGTCCATATCTTCACTGAGTGTTGCGTGGTTGGCACTTTCATAAATAACTTGCTGGGGGAGCTGCAGCTACAGGTCATCATGATTCAAATCAATACAAACAGTGGATGAAGTGGTCACCACATATTAGCTCGTGGGTACACATTCTTGCTGCCGATGACTCTCCTCCCCTACCTGGCCTCGTCCGTGAACGCCACAAGGGGCCGATAATCTTCAATGATAAGAATCACCGTGTCCCAGGGTGGCGTGGCCTTTATCACGTCCACGAGCTCTACCGGGTCGTCATAATGAACGGCCTTCGTCCTCTCCACACCTTCGATGTACGACATCGCAGCTCCTAGTTGCGCCGGTCAAGACGCCGAACTCTAAGTTAACCTTAAAAATATGTTCGAGACAATAGACCCAAGTGTTTGTGATGTCTCCAACGGGCGATCTACCATTAAAAAATAGCACCTATAATTACCAAAATGAAGAGCACCAAAGTAACCTGACGAATTCACAGACAAAGCTCCGATGACGTCGTCACACATGCGATTACACACAACCGGTAACATTAACGCGCACACACACGCTGACGCTGGTCGCCGCTGTTGCTGCGCGGGGTGGGCGGTTGTACCCTAACAGCTGTAAGGCGAGGCGGGCGCCATCTACAGACAGGGCGGAGAAACACTGAGAGGAACGCAAACGTATGACGATACGGAAGGGGGGTTGTTGTAAGTTTACTTAGCTCTTGGCTAGGCCAATGTGGTCTCGTAAAAATGAAAAAAAGGAATAGGGAAAACTGGAAAATGTGAAATACTACAGGGAAAATTTATCAATTTCGGTGGCTTTGACAAATATTTTTAGTTTTAATTGCAATTCGTGATACTACTTGGTTTTACTGTTTTACCCCCGTTATGTGACCCGCTTTTCTAATGCTTCCCTTTTCGTCAGATACAACACTAAATGCAAGGGGGCCCTTCACCCCCGCTTTTAATATCTTCACCATATTAGTCCACATTTGAATGCACGGCAACTGCCGTCCCCTTTAGCCCCGCTTTTCTTTTCTATCTTTCTGTACCATAATATTCCGCATTTGAATGAAGCATTCCGTTAAAGCTGAAATGCAGAAGAATGCGGGGAAGAAGAAAACGGAAATAGCTATGCTTTAAAATGGTGACTTCCGTTTTCTCCTTCCCCGCATTCTTCTTCATTTCAGCTTTACCGGAATGCGTTATTACCCCCTTGACCCCCGGAGGGAGGACACAGGATCATCGCAGCAAGCTATAGTCGTTGTCTCGGCGCTGTGCAATGGCAGGAATTCAAGAAAGAAAGGGTTAGATCGAACAGTGAGTCATTTATTTACAAAATCTACAAGATTCTGAGGGCGCGGGCACATAAGTCCGCTAGTCAATCACTCAAAAACATTCGGCACAGTCCACGACGGCGTGGCCTGCCTCGTCCTGCTCTACGCGCACGTAGGGTAAAGGGTACAGGTGATCATAAATCGCGCCGTTTGGGATCTGTGCTTCTGCGCACACTGTGCAGGACTCAACCTCGGACTCGCCATGTCTCCCAAGTAGATACGGGGCGAAGTTGAACTCGCTGCCTCCGCCTTTGGCACAGTGGCTGATGACGTGCAGCGACCGCGGTGCGCGCAGCACGAGGTCGGCGAGGATGGCCTCCCGGCAGACTGGGACTGCGGACACGAAAGTTACAGACGTGTGTTCTGAGTGCCACGTCCGATACACAGCAGGGCTGCAGGTTTGCCTACGCCCTTCGCCCCAAATGCCCATGCGGCCCCGTGGGGTAGACAAACCCGCACCGCTGCCGTGTCTTGGTCTTGACACGCGGTACTACAGAACACAAACAAATACAGCACCGAGAAAACAAAACCCCTCCCTCCTCGCTGCCTTAAAGCGCCATTTTAAAGAATCAAACATTTAAGCATTAACGTGGTTAATGTGGTTTACCTCGTTGTTCCGAGGAGCAGTGCGACGTCTTGTCCTGCGTACTCCCGCCGAATCTGTGACACACCAATGTGATCAGGCAGAGGGCGGGGATGGCGTCGGCGGGGAGGTCACGCAGCACCTGGAGCGACGGGGCCGGGTCCAGGACGAGCGAGCGCGTCTCGCAGCCCAGCATCAAGCCCGTCGCCATCCACCTCTCGCGCCGAGCGGGAACAGTTGGAGAAAGGTTTGGCATCGTTGATGCGGGGGGGTCACGCAGCATCAGGGCCAGCGGGGGTGGGTCCAGGACAAGCGAGTGCGTCTCGCAGCCCCGCAGCAAGCTCACCGTCTCAGGGGACGGCACGTTGTGGAGAGTCAGGCAGCGCCGCGGGCCAGTCCAGGAGAGCACGGCTCTCGCAACCTGAGGAGGGCACAACGATACGACGTGAAGCCCGTGATCTGACCCTCGGCCGGGAACAGTGTACTGAACTAAAACGGGTCAGAGTGCGTACCAACTCGGCGTGTTTCGCATTCTCGCCCAGAAATCTAATATCCAGCTTATTTCCGTGCGTCACTCTCAGGTGTGCGACCGGTGAACTCTTGTGGGTGATGGAAAGCTGTGGGATGTTTTGGGGGAGCGCGCCAATGAGGCGCGGGAGTTGTTCCATTTGCACCGCCACGTCGATCAGCTGCTCGCTGTGGCAGATAGAATGCATAGGTTCTAAGTTCTACATCACCGCGATATCTGCGGATTGGGGTGAGGAGCAGTTACCTGTGTGCTCGCAGCAGCGACTCGAAGACGGCAGCAGACGTGAATCGCGAGGAGCTCGGCGGGGGATTTGGCTGGCGCTTCCTGCGCCTGAGGTTTTCCAGGTTTTTTAGGTCTTCTTCCGTTTGAGTTCGGACCAAGTTCAGCTTGGTAAGATGCGGGAGCACGACCTTCTGTGAACAAACAAGATCACGGTAGCAGCAGACAGCCTGCCGTGTACGCGCTGGCGCGGTGGGTGACCTACCGCAGGGCGGAGAGCACACGCTTACCTGGGGCCAAGTGAAGTCCGTGGTGAATTCCCCGACGTACATCGCTAGAGACTTCAAAGAGCGAGCCTCTGGCAGGTAGGCGAGGATCTGGTCGAGGCCATTCTCGCGACCATCCGTTTGGTCCACGGGTCTTCGCCAGAAATCGCTGTAATCCTGGCAAAATGCATATTAACATGTTTGAGCAGATGTCGCGTGACACGAAGTATGCGCGGGCAGAGGGTGATAGTCTACAGAGAAATAGAACATTCTAAAAATGACATTTGCATTGGACTCATCCCTGTTACTCCGCTAAAACGTTGAGTCCCAGAGGGGTCCCCTTTTATATGCTGTTGTGCCAATACATGGTGGTCATGTGGAACTCAACATGGCTAATAGAGGGAAATTTATACCTTCTTTGAATGAAAAAATTGATGCATTGATTGCCATAAATAACTTTCCGTGACTTGCCTGCACTTTACAAAGAGTTTTATTTGACTCTCACTAAATTTCACTACGATGAAGTAGTGTGACAAATTTATTACAAAGAATGGGTGCGAAACATGTGCAATGAGAATCCCTGAAACGAACAGGGATCTTGATAGTTCCTGAATACAAAGGAATGGGAGAGGATGAATATAATTTTGACTACAACTCCCCGTTAGCAAAAGGCAATCTCATTGTCGGGTTTTAAAGAAAATCATTCAAAGTTAAGAGGGGAATATAGCAACTAGAATAAACAGGTCTGGAAATTGTATGATTTGGTGAGCCCCCTATTACCTCATTTATGGACAGTTTCTTGGCCTCCCGGGCAACTTCCATCCAAATCTTCAGTGAATGTTCCATGGTGGGCACTTTCATAAATATCTTCCTGGGAGAGCTGCAGCTACAGTTCATGACAAATTCAAATAAATACAATTAGTGGGTGGGTGGTGTGGTCATCACTTATGGGGGTGTGGGTACACATCTTTACAGATGATTACGCTCCTACCTGGCCTCGTCTGTAAAAGCCACGAAGGCCGGACCTTCTTCAACCTGAAGAATCACGGTGTCCCAGGGTGGCGTGGCTTTTATCACGCCCACGAGCTCCGCCGGGTCGTCGTAGTGAACCCACTTCGTCTTTTCCACACCTGGGATGATCGAGCAGCGGCGGGGTGCGCGTTGCAACGGGAGCGGAGGACGCAGGTTAACACGCTCATCTTTGTTCAGGCCCGAGGGACCTGACAAGGACATCGCGGCTGCTAGTTATTGCGACGGTCAAGACGCCGAAACCTAACCTTAAAAATACGTTCGAGACGATAACTTAAGTGTTGCGATGGCGCCTGCCGCTGACAGACCATTGAAAATGAGCACGTATAATTACCAAAATCAAGAGCACTAAAGTCTTCTGACGAATACACAGACACTACACAATCACACTTTTTTACATCCGGTACGATACGGCATAAACGCACACAGGCTGTTGGGTTGGGCTGGGTTGTGTGGTGCGCGGTGCGGGGCGCGGGGAGGCGCGCGCCATCTACAGACAGGGCGGGGAGACACCATCACCATCAACCTCTCGCACCGAGCGGAGCGGAAACAGTTGGGATTGGGGAAAAACGTGGAGGACACAGTGTACCAGAGTGTGGTTTATGGCGAAGACCCTATGCGCTGCCGGTGCTCATCGTTCTTCGAGTTCTTTGACAACGCGTTCCAAATGATCAAGTAAGTAGCTATCAAAGGTTTCGTTCTGGGCATTCTCTCAAACGTGAACAAGTGTAGGCATCGAGAGCAGTAATAGGTTAGGTTGCGATGTTGTGTTGAATACGACGATGAAGGACGAAATGGAGACAGAATTATTAGTATGATGACCCGCCCGTAGGATCGCCAGGCAGGATGCCGCACCCGCCATGCATGAAATTTTATGAAATGCGCTTCGGTATAGTGCGTTGCGCGTCTTCGCGTGCAGCGCCTCTCACCCCCCCCCCCCACTCCCCTCCTTTTCCGTCCTATCTCGCGGCACCACACTACGCACAGCGCTCTATCACCCCAATACTTTCGTCACTTTCCGCCCCGAGTCCTCAAGGCCACGGAGTACTCGGAGTCAGCAAGGGCGCGCGCTAGGTCTGGTCGCGGGCGGGGCGCGGTGGAGCAGGTCGAGGTGGCGTATGATGGGTTGCCTAGCGCCTGACTGCAGGCGCTGGCAGCCGCGGCAGCTCCGTGCTGGCTGCGCTCCCACTACGACTGTCACGATAGCAAAACTTTTCTTCAATATCTTACGCACATTTGTCCAGATTTTGGGGAATATTGTTAACAGACGTTGTTGAGAAAACATATTAACGTCTCACATCCTCTTAAAAAATGGATATATGTGTGGTGTGGGTACAGCACTTTTACGTCAGATTTCTTTTCCGTGGCTCGGCTAGTGACGCTGTTAGATTGGCGTTCCGTCAATTCATTGTGTTATTCCATTTTTTATGACACAATCTCCTGTCCCTTTTATGTCGCTGCGTGATCGAATGCTGATAACAACTTTTTATTTTAAAAAAAATAGCAACACCGGATACACACCGCTTACACAACGCTCCGCCTCTCTTTCCACGTTCTAGCCATTGTTGACCCAGGCCAGTAAGCCTGTAAACGGTTAATTGCTCTGGATCATTTTACCAGGAGGCAAATCCGTCAAAACTGCATCATGGCTGCATTATATGTCCAGTCTAAATTGCGCACATTATGCGCATAAGGCGCTTAAGATGCGCTCTGCTACCTGGGTTGGAGCCGTCGGGCGCGTACCTCGGAGGCAGTTTGGCATCCACAACAACGGTGTGCGGCCTCTTTCAAATGCCCTGGACGGGGTGGGTAGGCAAACCGCAGTGCAATTGCGGCTTGTAACTGCGACACATATTATCTTCGCGAATGAAATCCTGCGGGTACGTGCCAGGACCGGCAGCCGTCGGCGTAGACTAATCAGTGTACACCCTAAAAAAAAACAGGGGAAATCAGAAGTTGGAAAAAATCAGAAAACTCTTAGAGAAAGTCAGGAAAAACCCAGAGAAAGTCAGAGAAAAATAATGAGAAAAAAACCAAGTAAGAACAAAAAAAAATGGTGTACGCTTGAATTGATAGTAAAGCACCCCTCGAGGCGTGTGGCCACGTGATACTTTAAGTGCCGTTTACGGTCGGCCGATACGCAGATGGGGATACGTTTCACCACACGGTCGCCCCACGCTGGGAGCGCGCTGCCCGCCCGCCAAGGTGCGCTTTGTGTTCGCGCCTGTGTGTGTGTGTGTGAGCCCGCACGCGTGCGTACGAGTGCACGCGTGCGCCACTGGCGGCGCTGCCGAGGTCCAGCCGCGCAGGCGTGGTTGCGGCAAGCCTCCATTATTTTTCCAAATGCAGCGTGGTGGTGTGGTGCGCACGCTTGGTGGCACCCCCCCCCCCTCACACACACACACACTTTTTTGACTTACTGAATATTCTGTAAACCGCTGCCACTCCATCGAACCCCCCACCCCCTCTCTACCTCTCGTCCCCGCCCTTGATGGTGGCGGTTCATGAGGCGATGCGGACAGTATAGCGCCGTAGCGCCTGCCGCGCGCTGGGTAGGCCATCCCGTCAAGCGACTGTGTGAAGACGGCGGCCTGTCCGGAGCGCCCAAGATCGGGGGCGACGGATCGGACACTTCCACTGGTACTACCACAGCGAGGTTGCCACTACTTTTCGCCATTTCTCGTTATTCTCCATTTTATTATCGTTACGTCCTCTCGATCGCAGTGTTAATTGCTCTGCCCTCTTTCAACTTGGTATTCCGCCGTCCTGCGATTCAATAACGGATAAGCGACCGGGGCCGTGGTGCGCCAAACCTATTGTGGTACTATGTGGCCCCGCGTGTTCATTCGTGATCCACTCACTCATGGGGCCGTATCCGCTGTATTTGCTCTGGGCAGCTCAACTTGCGCGGACAGTCGCTGGGGCGCCGTTCGCGGTAACAAACAATCATTGTGTGTGATTGTTATGGATTTGTGTGTGATTGTGTCATGATTGTTTCTAAAATGTTTTTCCCGATGTACACACTCACATATTGTGCCCAATTCCGCACCCCGCTTAGTACGAACGTTTGCACAAAAACATACAAATACATTTAGCGTATACGCGTGTGCGTGTACGCGTAAGCGTGGATTTCAGATTTCACGAAACGCAATAGTGATTTTCGGTTGTCTTCACGAAGTCAATGAGGGGCGGGACCCCGACTTCTCGTCACGCCGGGCGTGAAAATTACACCTGGCGTGATAATCGCGCTCGCGTTTTGGAAACTCTAAACTTCTCTTAAACATTGGTATTAATTTTTTTTACGGAAACGAGTATTTTAATGCCCCCCCCCCCCCCCCCCCAAAAAAAGAAAAAACCACGGAAAAGTGTTGGGCACGTAATTTGTTCGTTATAAACAGAACATATTATAATAAGTGTTATCATTACGTTGGCCATTCTGTGTCAGGGTCCATTCCTGGCGTACGTCGACAAGTTCTCCCGTTGTGCAGACGACGAGTCAACCAATAGGATACTCATGACTATGACCATCACACCCTTCAACATCAGAGAGCCCTACGCCCTCCAGATCGTTAATGGCAAACTCTCATTCAACCGGACGTTCGATGATACCTACTGGGCAAGTGTCACACCTTTTACTTTGAAAAATATCATTCACAACATTTATATACAACATTTGTTGTAATTTTTGTTTAGAAAAGAATTTTTTAATTTGCAACAGCCCACTCTTGCTTGTCCATCAATTCCAATTCGATCCGAAGTGCTTGTAAATTTACAATCTGAAATTGTAATTTTACGACACATGGAAAAGTTTCTCGTAACCGTAGGCTACGACTATTTTTTCACATTGCCATCATACACAGAACAATCCTGTAAACTGGCGAAGTGTGTACTTAACTTACCTGTGTTCGTTATTTGAAAATACAATTTTGAACAGACTCGCACTCGCATTGATTCCCGCTCCACCGACGGCCATCGTTGGATGAAGAACGCTTTTCTTTTCAATTTCCCTTCAAAAGGCTGTTCTGTATTTCGGGAGCAAGCGCCTGATTGGTATCGTGTTTTGTTAGGTGACGTCATCACCAGCGGGAAAGAATGCACCGTTCCGCCGGCAAGTTCAAACAATCATACTAATTACCAAACTACACTCTAAATGTCAAGGACAATTTTTGTAACTAGCACCGGACTTCTGCGTGCATAACTGAATTCAGATACAATATTGTGACTTGCTAGTCACTAAATGTGTGTTGGTAGTTACAATATTGTATCTGAGCTAGTTATGCACACAGAAGTCCGGTGCTAGTTACAAAAATTGTCCTTGGACATTTAGAGTGTACTTAAAATGTGAAAGTTAAAAAAAATAATCCAAAATTGGAATTATAATTCTGAGACGATAATAGGAGCGAGTAAGTCTTTCTTGAAACAGCACGGTAAAAAAAAGTTTCTTTTAGACGCTGTCTTGGATTTTATGGAGACCGCCATTGACATCCAAGACCGGGTGTCGAATAATACTGTTTTTCACTGAAAATCACTTTATGTAACATAATACAAAGCTATCTCTATTTGTTACGTTCGTGTGCGTGTGTAACATCAGTTATACACATTTTTTGACGTAACAGTTTTATACAAATTACTTGCAGTAACAGGTGTTACACAAATACTTTGTATTACAAAATGATTTTTGTTGATTGCAACTTTAGAGCTATGCGTCCCGAGCATAATTTGCAGTGTAACAGCTGTTACACTTTTTAGTTTATGCAACATTTGTTACGTATACCACTTTGTGTAACAACGGTAACGTAAAATTATGAATGTAACAACTGTTATACACGTACACATACGTGTTGTTACATAGAGTAACTTTTAGTGTTGTAATACATTTTTTACCGTGCAGAGGTAACTTTTTGTACGCGTAATTTGCAACGTTTTTTGGACGGTATGTACCAATTCTGAATTGAACCACTATAATTTTAAAGGTCTGAAGTAGTAACGTAGAAATGGGGTTAAATTTCACTAGATCATTCTTACTTAGGTTTCCTTCTATAGACTTCAGGCACATTTGTTACTTACTTTTAAACCTTATAGTCGGTTAACGTCACTTCCCAAGACTGTTAATTATTTTTCGTTCCAGGGCGTCTACCCCATCGAGAAACAGTCAGTAAACTGGACATTTCCGAATGTTCCAATTATGCCATACGGATTCATGCGGTTTCATTCAACCTTCGGACGAGCTCGGGAAACTGATTTCTGCTTTCAAGCAGAGTTCCATTCAATCCCAAGACCAAAACCAGGAAATATTGGATAAACCCCTGTCCGAAGCACCTGCCTGTGATGCGCCCGGTGCATCTCCGCCATTATTTGCTCAACGCGCCGATTGGGACTGCCGCACACTAAACTCGGATGCATTATGTTGTACAAAAGGGCTGCTCAGCTCTAATCGGACCTAGTTACGCCTAAGGTAGAACCTAGTGAAAAAATATCGAAAATTGCTAAAAAGTCGTTTAGTGAGGTGAAAAACGGTCTAGAAGCTCGTAGGCTAAAAACTCGACCTTGAATTTGTATAAGGGAATGAGGGATCATCCAGAAAGTACGTCCGTTTCTCTCAAAATCATCCTGCAAACTACAGTGGCTCGGCGCCTGCAAAACCCGGGGTAGGCTACCCCGCAATACACCCATGCACGGCATGCAAGATTGTGCCTACCCATCAGGCGCCATGAGAGCTTGCATTGCCGTAATTTGGAGGGTTCGTAACGGCGAATGACGGACGTACTTTCTAGATAATCCCTGATGTAAACTGTTGTAATTAATTGGTGCAACTCGCGATGTAATCGGATGTGATTTGGTACACAGCAAAGTAAATAAGAGATGAACACAGGTGGATGTCCAGAACGGAAGTGAGCTGAACTCGAGATACACTTTTGACAGATTGAAAACAGATTAAACGTCTCAAAATAGCTGAACACCAGAATAAATAATTATGCACATATTGCTATTATTTATATATGTGATCATGAACCTTCTGGTTGTGTAGAAACTTAGTATATTTTAACAAAAACAAGCTGTGAAAGAAATTTTTCCCTCGAAATTTATGTCGCAAGGACCTTTTACCGTAAAGGCCTGCATCAAGGGGGAGTTTTTGGTCTACGAGCTCGCTTGACCGTGTTTCACCTTACTGATCGACATTTTTGAGATTTTCGGTATTTGTTCAGTAGGGTCCTCCCTTAGATATCCTTACTTTTCTCAAATTCACCACACTAGTAAAAGTCTTCAAAAACGCTTTGCGTTCAAAGAAAAGGAAGCATTGTAATTGAAAGTGAAATTAAAAATTATCGCTTCGTACTCTACGATGCTACTGTTTTCTTTGTAGGTTGCAAAGCAATGCCTTGTAAACTTTTACAGTGTTAATAAAGTGTTTTTTGAATTATATTCCTAAAGTTTTAAGGCGGTTTCATGTTATTCTAACCCCCATTTACTCGTTGTGATTGAAAGGTAAGCTTTAAGCGGACGCATTCTGATTAATTTCGTAGTGAATACCTACGTATTTAAAATCAGTATCAGGGTGAGAGTGTACAAATGGGCATATTGCGCACAACACAATGCATTGTGTCAGGGCCACGACACATCAGGTTTGCCTACTCCAGGGGTCATGGTGCCTTACGTTGGACGAGTGGACAATACATACCTGCATACTGCTGTTTGTGGCACTGACGCACTGTGCATTTCTTGCTCCAAACGCGCACAGTAAAATTACTTGTTCATTTAAAAAGTCAGTTATTAATCACTCTTGTACATACGGTAATAGTTAGTCATTCGATATAATCTTCTTTCTAGTTAGCAGTTTATGTCCTTTGTCTCCTACTTCCGTTCTGTGACGCTATGGATGGTAAAACTCTGCTGTCCTCTGGGGCAACATCAATAAAATGTTTTTGTATAAAAAGATATGCCGTTTCGGTACCACGCCGGGCCTCTCACGCGATGGGAAATAGCTGTCAATTCGTAGCACTTTCAGTCATGCCGATGCACCGAATTCCACTGTACCTGCTCTGTGCCGCTGAGCTGGTGCGGACAGCTGCTGGGGCTCCATTTGCGGTAAAAATAAGTCTTAATAATAGAGCGACTGAACCTATTTCGAATCAGATTTTTGAATTCCCGCCCTATACCAAAGCACACAGGTTTTAGAACAGTCGCGTAGGAAGGAATCTAAAGGTGAGATCTTCCTTTACAAATAGCAATTTTTTTGGCGTCCGTAGCTGCACTCGTTTTGGAGTTATGGCAGTTTGAGTATGGACGTGATTTTGATCCGAAATAGGGACACATGAACCAATTTCGGATCAGCTTTGGATCAAAATGTCGATTTTGCCATCCTGTAGCCTACAGAAGTCGGCTCTAGAAGCAATCAAGATTTTGGTCCACAGTCCATAGGGTCTGTGAATTATTGCCTGATCCGAAATAAGCTTGTGCACGTGCACCTAATTCGGATCAAATGGAACTAATAATTAAGAAAGCGACCAGCAACAAGCAACACACTCGGCAGTAGTTCTTAAGTAGAATAAGTGAAAAAGACGAGTAAACGTCATATTCTTGATCAGCTGGAATGCCTATATTGCGGGAGATCGAGATTATGTAAGAGTACTTTTGACTAAATCGACATAAAATGCAGTGAAACTAGCAAATATGGTCCTGGACTGTCCTGGATGACCAAGTATGGATCCTAAAGCAACCCTTTGAAATATCCTGTGACAAAACAAAGTAATAGTGAGCACCAAAAAAGTTTCGACCAGCATTAAATCGAGAAGCTGCTCGCAAAACTCCACTTAAGAAGTTGTGGCTTTTAACTCGTTTTAACCTCTACCCGCGTTTTAACCTGACATGATATTTGATCGAATCCACGTTTGAAACGTGTTCTCTGGGCCTTTAATTAAAGATTGATACCTGGGTTGACGCGAAATTATGCGTATATACCAAGTAATGTCAATTTGATTAAACCACAACATTCTCCCACCTCCTAAACAATAAATATTCATGGTCAATTCAGCCGCTTGGGCTGCTTGGGCCGCACTAGGACGAAGCGATGGTATATTCTGGTAGAAAACGACAAACCTTTTCACCAAAAAAATTAGAGCCCATACATTTTAGCGAGGGAGCGTGTGTAGGTCTTATTGATCCGAATTAGGGGCTGATCCGAAATAGGTTCAGTCGCTCTATACGTTTCAAATCAGTCATGATAAATGAAGGGGGCGTAGTTTGGGGTGCTGACGTGCCGCTGCCGCGCTGCTTGAACAGAGTGGCCGAGAATTTTGAACTTGAGTAAATTATCATGTCCAGTTACGTGTCTTAGGGGCAATACCTAGCGTACGGCAGCAAGTTGTATCCATGTGCGACGAACGAGTCGAAAAACAATATTATCTTGAGGAGCGTGGTCTCGTCCTTCAATATTAAAGAGCCCTCCGCACTCCAGAGACTTTACGGCAACATCACGTATTATATCTCCTTCGATGACACCTTCTGGGCAAGTGACTTTCCTTCATGTGCAGTAACACATGATAGAAGAACGCGGCCTGTGGAACACCCTGTACATTCCCTTGTTTCTTTATTTAAGGCTCGCACCCGTATTGATTCCCGCTCCTCCGACGGGCAACGTTGGCTCAAGAACGCGTTCCTCATAACTTTTCCTGGGAAAGCCTGCTCTATGATGCGTGAGCATGTACCTGGTTTGGCTCGTATTCTCTTAGGCGGCGACGAGATCATGAAGAGAAAATCGTGTTCGGTTCAGACGGCAAGTAACACACCACCTGCCCCGTAACAGCAGAAAAGTCAGTTCTTAAACCTAGAAATTTCGTGATCATCATCAAATTGTGTCAGATTATGTCAGAAGCGGTGCATAAAATTTTGCGTAATTTTATGGCTGAAGCCCATGAAAACTCTTAAAGAGTTAGTACTTTTTGCGTGTGAGGGTGAGGGTGACTTAGACATCTTCGTTGTTGTTGACAATGCCGGCAAATTCAGTTCAATGCCGAATCATAAAATGCATATGAGCCCTAAAGTTCAATCTCTAACAGCAGGGAATCTTTCAAAAACTATGATTTTTGGACCAAAAATGTGCTTATTCTTTTCAACATAGTGTCCCCTTATAACCTGACTTGGTAATAACTTCCTTCTTTTTACACGTTTTATTTTTTCAGGGCGAATACTCTATTGGAAACCAGGCGGTGAACTGGACGGTTCCGCATTTTCCCATAATGCCATACGGACACATGCGGATTCAGCAACTCGCTGGACGGGGGCAAGACACTGATTATTGTCATATGTTCGAGTTTAATGTCATTCCAAGACCAAAACTCGGGAACAATGGCTAAGACGCTTTGTCGTTTTCGGCCGTTTGCATTGAGAAATGTTTTTTTCTAAAAGTATCGGTACAGTGATAATACGCGTCTTTCGTGGTGATGGGGCACCACACTAAAATTTTGTGACCCGTGGATTCAAAAGTTGAAAGTTTGTGAGTACCGGGTGTCCGGGAGAATACGCGGCAGCTCGATGGGTTGCCTACGCACTGGTGTGCAGGCGCGGAGGGCGAGGGGGGAGCGGTGGTGGGAGGCAGCCGGTTGCCCCCCGTTACCCCCACCGCTCCCCCCTCTCCCTCCGCGCCTGCACACCAGTGCGTAGGGAACCCATCGAGCTGCCGCGTATTCTCCCGGACACCCGGTATAAATGAATAATCGGAAAAAGGAAGTCCAAATTAGATTAAATACATATACTTAAATTTAATTGACCTAATAAATTTGCTTCCCATGCTTGAGGAAAACTTCTCAGATTTCGCCTTGGATTTTGAAGAAATCTTTTCAAAACACCAGAACAAACCCCACATTTCTTGAGGAGAGTTTTCCTCATACAAAGAGAGTTTCTCAAAGTTTTCCATTTCCTGAAAAAAGTCTCAGTCAACAACTGATAGCGATAGAAGAAAGTGGATATAAATTGAAATAGGGGTGGCCCCCCTTAAATTAAAAAAAAAAAACAGTTCTGAACTTTTATTTTACATTCTTTTTCTTTAAAGAGTGATGGGATAGAATGGCGAGGGTAGGATTTTTCATGTCAACCCTATCAACCCTATTATTCAGCTCGTTTTGTCTCGGTCCCAATACGTGCAGTGGGAACTTTCCGGAACTTTCAAATTTCAAACTCACCGCTCCCTCCTGCTCGGCTACCGTTGTTTGTGGCTTTCCCTGCTCCCGCGAGCGCTCACTCGCCTCGGCTCGCGAAACTTGCCGTTCAGAAGGATTGAGGAGCATCTGCACCTTCGTGGACTGTTTTGCACCTCGTTCGTGATTCGTTGGTCTGTTTGCAATTACGTAGGCTGCACGGACGGAGAACTAAGAGAGGGGAACTTCCTCGACTGTCTAGGGGACTGTCTGAAAAGCCAAGAGCGGAGCTTTCTACACTGCTGAGGGGGCTGGCTGTCTCTTTATTTTAGTCGGATATCGTACGCCTTCTAGCCTCGGACAAGCGCTAAAAAAATTATGGACCACCAGCAATAAAATGGTACTTAAAACTGTGAGATATTACGTCGGTGTCACGCGGGGCTTCTCACGCGATGGATGGTAGCTGTCAATTCGTGGCACTTTCAGTCATGCATCTGTACCACCTTCCTCTGCACCTGCTCTGTGTAGCGGAGCTGGTGCGAACATCGGCTGGGGCGCCAGTTGCGGTAAAACTAATGTCATCGTCATCTATACACTGGGAAGACGAAGGTGCTCAGTACTAAATTTTAATGGTACCAAAGGTTTAGTGCCTTCACAAAGGCAGCGACAATGCCAACGGCACCAATTTTCTAATGCCTCAAGCTAATGCCTCTTTGGTGCCGTTTGTAAAGGCACTTAACTGAAACTTTCATTAGCACCCCACGCAAGGCACGACGCAGCACCTTTGTTTTTCCTGTCCTGTGTATACTTTCGGTCCTTAGAATTCTGGGGGGGGGGGGGGGGGGGTACGCGAAGTTGGGGTTATTGGGCCGGGGCCGGAGGTGTTTTCCCGTGCCTCAGTCGCTCTGCTTGCATGATGTGGGACGCTCATTTCGAATGTTTAGAACTTGTACACTTGTCTACTTATGAGACACTTTGTATTTACAGTGTAGTTACGTGTCTTAGGGGCATTTCCTAGCGTACGTCAGCAAGCTGGTGCCATGTTCCGAGGACGAGTCAAACGGTAACATTGTCTGGAGGTGCCTAGCCACGCCTTTCAATATCAAAGAGCCGTACACACTACAGAGACTCACCGGTAACGTCACGTATCGTCGCCCCTTCGATGACACCTACTGGGCAAGTGTCACGTATATTTACTTATGTACTTACTTACAGCAGAGATTGTGCACATATGTCGCCCTAGTAGCGCCCATGCACGTTAATGTGCATTAAATGCGTACTAAAATGCGTAAAAAGGATAACACATTTTTTACGCATTTAATTTGCATCACGCGCATCAATTGCGTAATTAGCGGTGACAAGCGGCTGATTCGAACCTCAGCCGAGGTTTCGGGCTCGGTTTGGATTAGGCTCAGCTGGTGAGGGAGACTGAGCGGGGCGAGGTTGACTGCTATCGCGCTTGCGTTGACAAATCTCTGACATGACATACAGCCGCGGACAGCGAACCAGGTCTTCTTTTGCATAAGCTCGCTAAATAGCTTAATCAAAGCAAAAGGGCCGGCGAAAAAAAAGGGGATATGTGACATTTGTATATTTACTTGTTTCTCTATGAATTTAAGTCTCGAGTTCGCATCGACTCCCGATCCTCGGACGGACAACGTTGGCTCAAGAACGCGTTCGTCATATCTTTTCCTGGCAAGGCCTGCTCCACGACTCGTGAACATATGCCTAGTTTCGCTCGACTTTTCCTAGGCGAGGGAGCTTTCATGAGTGGAAAACCATGTGTCGTTCAGCCGGTGAGTACAACACTACCTGCCTCGCAGGCGTTAGAATCTAATTAGGCTTCACGCAGAAAATATAGGGACCGACTTTCGTCACGCCGGGCGTGAAAGTCACGCGTGGCGTGATAATCGCGCTCTCGTTTCGGGGACGCTGATTTCCCCAGGAATTTTACAACAAAAAAATAATTTAGTTTCCAATTTGAAATCGTGATTTTATTCCCGTAAAACCAATGAATATTTTGTTTCATTTTCCAATTTTCTTTCAGGGCGTCATCACCATGGAAAACCAGCCGGTAAACTGGACTTTTCCTCATTTCCCCATCATGCCATACGGATACATGCGGTTTCATCAGACCATGGGGCGGGGACGAGAAGTCGACTATTGTCAGATCGCCGAGTTCCATTCCATCCCAAGGCCAAAGCAAGGGAATAATGGTTAAGATCGCCCAGCTTGGTTCTGTTGGCCGTTTGCACTCAGAAATGTTTATTTAAAAAAATGGCTGATCGGCACAGTGATGGTGCTACGAAAGTTATCCGCTAGAATGCAGGGTGTTGTGTCGTTTGTGATGGTGCCCCTTACACTGACAGGGATGATCTAGATGTCGAACGAACGCCCAGCTCGTCTCTGGTGCTCGACCCAGATAAACGTCTAGGAAGCGCAAGGAGGTTCTAACACATGCTGGGGAATGTGCGGCTCATACGCTTGCGGTGCTCCAAGCCAGTCGCCACCCGCCTCGCCCAACGCCGCCCCGCTCAGGCATGGCGCGCACTAATGTCGATATTATTTTGCGGTATTTGCGACAGAACACCACTTGAATGGTGTAGCGCTCGGCCGCGGTGTGGCATGGTGGGGCGTTGTCCGACTACTGGACTGGCCCGATCGCTTTCTGTTTCGGCAGAAATCGACCTCGCGTTTTACTCAACATTTTCCGAATTCACCAGAGTGACAGTTACATTCGACAACCCACATTTAGGTTTGTGCTATACGCATGTTCTTGTGCCAAGAATGGGTTTTTCTAGGTGCATATCTGGAATGTAAAATACCTGGTGAAATGTTACCCCCCTCCTCCGCTGAGCGCCACCCTGCCTGTGGCCGATGCACCTTCTGCCCCCTCCCTGACATGAACAAAGGCAGGGGTGGGCGAGAGCAGGAGGAGGGGAGGGGCAATTGCATACCAAAGCACTCGAAGAGGGAGGGGGCGGGTGCAGTCCCGTCCGGCAATGCCACCCAGGTCCAAGGTTGTGTTCGGGATCCCCACCCCTCCCCCGCCCTGCCCCGGGGCCGTCCTGACCGGTGGCGCCTCTCTCTCTCTCTCTCTCTCTCTCTCTCTCTCTCTCTCTCTCTCTCTCGCGTGCGTGCGCGCCCGTTCGCTGATTGGCCAGAGAGGCGGGGGTGGTTTTGGATTCCAGCTGGGCGCGCCATATAAAAGTGCCGGGCTGCGTTGTCCTGGGCAGCAGATACAGAAGGCGTTCCCAGCAGCACCGCAGCGCACCTGGACACCGCCACGACTACCAGAGACATGGCTTACTTCAAGGTACGACGGACACGCGCCCTGGAGGGACGCTCCCCTCAGCCTGGTTCTCGACATCTCTCCATGCAGTTCAGTATCGCTGGCCTGGTCCTTCACGTCACTGCAACACCGACCCGCCAAGGACAAAATCTGGGATTAGAATCATCGATGTGTGTGGTGCAAGTGAAAAGTGAAAACGGACATTTAGTGCGTGCGTGTGCGTTTTTAACTTTCCTAAAAACCAACTGCGAGTTGAAAACGTTTCTCACGCAGCGTGCGTGTGCGTGCGCTAGCCCGCGTTTGTCGCGGTGATGCTCTGTCGTGTGTGCGGCTGTGCCTCTGCTGTGCCCCCCGGTCGTTGCCAGTTGCCACAAGCTGACCCCAGCCGGTCAGCGGGGGCTTCGCGACCTCCTGGGGCGGCACGGGTTGACGCCCACCTTGGCCGTGACCGTGGCCGAGCGTCGGAAGCGGACCTCCAGCGTGGCGTAACTAGCGCAGCCACCTCCCCCCTTCCCTCCTTTCCCCTCTCTCCAACTGCCCTTCCTTACGCCGCGATCAGCGTTTGTTACCCGAGGTTTGTCGTTGCTCTCGCTCAGTCGCGTCAGCGTTACGATTATGCAAGTTCGGCGTGGCCTGAAATCAAAGGCGTATAGTGCCCTGCCAGGATCCTCCCTCTCTTTTATTTTCGAAAAAAAAAGTTGGTAGGAAATTTTCTGAATTAAAGTTGAAGCAAAGGGGTTATTGATTCCATCTTCTCGCGGTTCATTTCGGCAGGTTGCAGTGCTCGTCGGGGCGGTGCTGGGTCTGGCCTCGGCGCGCCCGGGCGGCCACGCCGAGTCGTACGTGTCGTACGGGCACGGCATCGTCCACGCCCCCATCGTCCACGCGCCGATCGTCCACCACACCCCCGTCCTCCACCACGCCCCCGTCCTGGTGCACCACGAGCCTGTGGTAAGTAGACGGCCCCGCTAACGACGGTGGCGGCCGACGTGGCGGTGGAGCAGCTATCCTTCGGTCTGCGGTTCGCTGCCGCGGTTTTCGTTCCTTATCGCCGACCTCTTCGCGGTTTGTTTTCTCCAGGCCCACCCCAAGTACGCCTTCAAGTACGGCGTGCACGACGCCCACACCGGGGACGTCAAGGACCAGTCTGAGCACCGCGACGGGGACGTGGTCAAGGGCGAGTACTCCCTGATCCAGCCCGACGGCACCAAGCGCACCGTGCACTACACCGCCGACCCCCACAACGGCTTCAACGCCGTCGTCTCCTATTCCGGACACGCCGTGCACGCCGCCCCTCTCCACCACCACTACTAATCGACATCGCTCACCCTCATCGGTGGCGTCCCCAGTCAAACAGTGACGCCATCTGTTTCATCCCTTCATCTGCGCCACCCCCTGTGATATATGTGTGTATATAAATCGAAGACTATCTGCATGTGCAACTAAAATGCCTGAAAGTACAAAAAAATAATAAAGCAGACAAAAATCTTGCTTTTCTAGATTTCCTTAACTTTCATAATCTTTTATCCCAAAATTCATTCACTTTCCTCCCCACCTTTCTAAAAGCTGTGCTGTTGATTAACCGGAGGAAGACATGCGTGGTGGGAAGGAATGCGGGCCGAATCGGCTGCTCATGAATTGTTTCGACATGACGTCCATTGCTGACCATTTGAGGGTGAGCCCGCTCTCCATCTCCTTATAGATAGGCGGGCTTGGGCCCTGGCTAGGCCGGCCCGGCTAGCTACGGCGGTTTCAACACCCCCCCCCCCTCCCAACATCGCCACACACATACACACTCAGAGCGAGAGAGAGAAGGAGAGACTTCCCCGGTACTGGGGCAGTGCCACGGTAACCCACAACTCCTGACATTGTTTGCGACGACACTGAAATAGAATAGCGCTTGTTCTATGCGTTGGTGCACTCGTGCACGCAAGCACGCGCCCACTATTCCCTCTGCGTTTGAACGTTTGTGGTTCATGTGCACCACCGCATGCCTGGGTGGGTAATCGTCCTCGATGGTTCGTGGGAAACTATTTTATTGTAATATGAGTAAGCTTAGTTTTGGCTACCCTCGCCGACCCTTACGCACCTAGACGTCAGTGCTTTAGGCCGTTCTGTGAAGCAGCGACGCCCGCCTCTCCCCGCGCAAAATCTCACGCTCCGGGCCGAAAAAAATGTATTCATTATTCCACTCTCGGAGCGCTGCAACAACAGCGCACGACCGTGTTTCATTCAATTTTCCCGCCGTGAGGCAGGTGTCCGAGCCGGTCGGCTGCCCGCGGCCGAGCCGCGGGGTGCCGAGGCCATTCCGCCATGGCTGAATTTCTCATCCGCTGTTATTGAAAAATTGCAGCGCAAGCAGCGCCGGACGTGCTCTGTGTCCTTTTGCATGTTGGGGGAGAGGAGACCTAAATGCTGTCTCGAAAGTTAATCCACATCAATTCTGTAGTCAGCTCTGTGGAAAGAATATAGCGTAAAAGGAGTTGAAGCACGCGGGTACACACACTGAAAACTGTCAGGGAAAAATTCGCAACACGGAAAGGTACCATAGGGGTACAATAATATTTTAACACTAGAGTTCCATGGCCACATCACACTAAATAAAATACAACTGCGTCCTCATTCCTCCCTACTGTACATTTGGTGAACATTTGTTACACTAGTTTTGGCAGTGCCGGTTTAGCTCACTACATACTGCTCAGGCCACGTGAATAATGGACTCTGATCCCGCGCAGGGCTCGGAGCACGGCAGTCGAGTTGGCAGGCGGAGGGAAAAGGGGAGGGGGAGGTAGGACAAGGGGGAGGAGGTAGGACAACCGAGCTCCCAGCGACCGCCAGGCATGTAGCAAGTGCATGTGCGACTCGGGTACCGACCGAAGGGGGTACCCGCTGGTGCACTGCAAGTACTCACCTCACCAAGCGGAGCTCTCATTAGCTAAAAGCACAACCAAGCAGCCGACGACGACGGCTAGGCGTTTAGTGAGGGCGGCAGGCCTGACAAGGCCGAGCATTGAGCTGCCGCTCCGGGCGAAACAAACCCTCCGGGAGCGGGGCGGGGTGTGGTGAGGGTGGGGCGGGTGGGGTGGGGCGGGGCGGAGCGGGCGAAAGGGTAAGTTAAGCGCGGGAAAGTCATTTTTATGGCTACCGATCGACAACAGCGGACGCCTTGTGGGGCGAAGACGGCTCTGCGGCTACGTTGAAAAGGCCGGTGGCCTCTAAGATGATTTACTACCGCATTTGATATGCTATCGTAAATTTACGGACATATGGGGATTGGCATAGGGCGATATTAACAAAAACAGTATCCAGGCTTGCAGACATGTGTAATTTTTTTATGGGCGATATGTACAGGCGAGCGATGAGGTGCTGGGTGGCGATGTGGATGGTGGAAGTGGGGCGCTAGTGGTAGTAGGGCCCGTAAGGCCCGTACGGCCCCGGCCCGGGCCCCGGGTGCGCGGCTGGCGCCGCTGGCAGCGGCCCGGCGGGCGGGTGCACGGCGTGCCCGCTGTACGACACCACGGCGTTGAAGCCGTTGTGGTGGTCGGCGGTGTAGTGCACGGTGCGCTTCGTGCCGTCGGGCTGCAGGAACGAGTACTCGCCCTTGACCACGTCGCCGTCGCGCTCCTCCTTGGCGTCCTTGTAGTCGCCGGTGTGCGCGTCCTCGACGCCGTACTTGAAGGCGTACTTGGGGTGGGCCTGCGGACACGAGAAAAGAGAGTGGGCGTACCTGGGCGTCACCCAGACTGGGACTGCAGCGGAATGTCGGAGATAAGAAGCCCTCCCCTTTGCTTCCATTCCCTATCATTCTATTTGGGATAAAACGTGAGACATCACTTTGTCTTCGCACACAAAAAACCAGGAATTTGCCTTGTTCCAATGTATTATACTTTATTCAAGAGCCTCGTAAACCTTAGGTGCTTATGCTTGGGGCGATTTGAATTCTTGCGGATTACCATTTTCCACGTTACTATTAGTAGTACCGCACGGAGCGTTAGCGGGTTCACTGTAAATCCACCTAGCGTTCCACCTATTGCGCCCATGCATTTACCCGGAAAACCAGAAAGTGTCCAGCAGATAGGCGACATAAGTCGCCTAGTTTTGCGGGTCAGGCGACTTATGTCGCCTATCTGCTGGACACCCCGGATTTACAGTGTAGGCAACCCACTGACATCCATGCTTGAATGCGGTACAGCACCCCTCCAGAAAGCGCACCACACCTGCAGACAATTTTTTTTGCCGGACCCGTGTGCTGTGTAGGGAAGATCACAATAGGCTACCCACAACACCAAAACTCAAATTTTGATGGCAAAAAACACTACACATTTCTGAATTTTACAAATTTTATCGAAATTGCATAGCTATAAATGTTTTGAAGATTATTTTTTTACTCCATCAAATTTCATGAAATTTAAAATTTTAATTTACGACGTAACAAATACAACGGAACTCAGTCCTATTTCGCTTTGGCAAGCACTAACCGCACGCTAACAAATAACCAATAAACTACGGTATCGATCTCTGTGCTGGAGAGGAAAGGCGCCCAAAGGCATGAGACTCACCACCGGCTCGTGGACATAGACCGGCGGGGCCGGGTGGTAAAGGGGCGGGCCGTGCGGCCCGGGCGGCCCATGCGGCGCGTGCACGGGCGCGGGCTCGGCGTAGATGGGCGCGGGCGCGATGTGCGAGATGGCGACGTACGACTCGGCGTGGCCGCCGGGCCGCGGGGCCGCCCGGACCGCGGCCGCCATCGCCGCCACGTAGAGCACAGCCTGCAACAAGACACCCGTTTGTAAGGCGGCGGACAGCCCAGAATAGAAGACCGAACGAAAAAAAATAAAAATAGCCATAGCTGAACAGTGGCTAGATAGGGGATAACTAATTATTTAACCATGTAGCTAAAAACTTAGGTGTGAAGCTAAATATTGAGATGAGCTTAATTTTAAGATACTTATCCAAATATCTCGGTAAATAATTAGTGATCTATTGGCCCAGCTTGTATAACTAATCATTTTTTCCGTGCGAAATCAGCAGCAATAGCTCTGATGAACACGGAGGCCGGTCGCACCCCCACACAGCAGCAGTTGCATGCAAAGTTATCGGCCGCCTCGAGTACCCGCTCTCCTGCTTCATCCTGGCGATGTCTGTGTTGGACACCAGCGACGATAGCGGGAAGTCCTGGACCCCTGTCAGCCCCACACTCTTGGTTGGCGATCATCCAGAAAGCGCGTCCGTCATTCGCCGTTTCGGACCTGGCAAGCTCCCGTAGCGCCTGACGGGTAGGCAACATCATGCCTGCAGTGCATGCGTGTACTGCGGAGTGGCCTACCCCGAGTCTCGCAGGCGCCAAGCTCCCGTCAATTTCACGAATGGATCTCGGAAAAAGACGGCCGTACTTTCTGGACGATATCTAGTTTTCTTAACGAGCAGATGTAGCCCTACTTGATGTCTTCCCGCGGCAGGCGGAGGGCGCAGCTGCGTCTGTCGCACTCACATACGCACACATCACGAAACACACACACCTTTAAGTCCATGATGGCTTCCTCGGGGTCCTCCGGGGTCCTCGCTCCCTCACTCACTGGGGCAGTGCCGCCGACGTCTCTGCTTTTATAACGACAAACACAGTCGGGGCGGGTGGCGGCTCAGGAGGAGAGGGCGTCGTGACCGAAGGGCAAAAATGCATCGCGTCGGGGAGGGATTGCTGGCTGCAGGGCTCTCTGCTGGGGGGCGTGGCGTGGCGTAGCGTCGTGAGCGATACTGCGCCACCACGGGGTGGCGGGGCGGGGACGAGGGGCGACACTCTCTGCGCGGGCAGAGGGAGGTTCGTGCCGCGCGGCGTGCCGTGCCGTGGCGTGGCGTGCCGAGGAGGGGGCGTGGTTTATGCACTGCGAGGAGAGGAAACAAGAGTAAGCAGCGGAGGGGGCGGTGGGGGGGGGATGTCATTATGGAGGACGGAGAGGAAGTAAATGGTGTGTGAGTCTCGGGCGGTGCGTCGTCAATAGGAAGAAAACTGAAGTAAGACTAATGTGAGTGTTAAGTTGAGTACAGTACTGAGTATACTGTCAGAAATGTTCGGGTTTTTGCCATACAAGTTTGTAGGAAAAATCCCATACGCGTGTGGGACGCGAAATTGTACATATACACCAAGTATTCATCAAGCGTTTGTCTGCTTCTGATTTGTCCGTCTGCTTTGGAGCGAGGTGACATTGGCCTTACAGCCTGGACGCGGCGGCGGCGGCGGTGGTTCGCCCAGTACCGTTTACATCGGCGCACGCTACCGCGAGCGCGGTGCTTTCGCGCCCCGCGGCGCCGCCGACGAGGGTGGCGTTAAACGCCTCGTCCTTCGCGCCCGCGACGTCCAGCCCAGGCGAGCTGCGAGGCTGCTGGACCGGGACCGAGACTCGTAAACCTGTAATAGGGGAGCGTTTGAGCTTAAGCAGCCCAGAGAGCCGATCAGCCACAGCCGAACAATGTGGCGGCGGCGCCGCGGAAAGTCAAGGCGCTCCGCCGTGCGGCGACGAAAATAAGTAAAAAGCACGGGTAACACAATAAAAAAATCGGTGCACCGGCTGCGTCGCGGCTGCCCTGCCCTTGCACCCTCAAGGGCAGAGAGCGACAATAAACTAATATAGTCCTCGGGGATATTCTCAATAATTTTGTTCTAGTCCCCACACACACACACACATGTTGTCTTCGCCGTCGTCGTGAGTCGGCACGCCGCGCCGCGCCGCAGACCATTTGGCGCAATGCACCGTGCGCATGCGCTCTGCTCTGTGTCCACTCATATTGTCATGTAGGGGCGCGTGGTGGAGGGGGCACCGCTGTGTGTGTGTGTGTGTGTCTGTGTGTGTGTGTGTGTGTGTGTGTGGAGTGAGCTCCGCCGGTCGCATCGCTGTGTCGCGCAGCGTTGGCCAAGAGACAACCCCGACGCGGAGACAATGCCTGCGGCCGTGCCCGAGGCGGTGCCCCTCCTAGCCCAGCACCACCATAGCCTCCCCTCTCTGTTTGCTCTAGCTTCCCGGTTCAAATCTTGGCGCGCTCGGCCAAGTAAATTAATTATTTATTCATTTTTGCAAAGGGGGATTTGGGGGGGGGGGTAATTTTTTATCATACGTCGGTTGTGTCGGGCGGGTGATGTATGCAGTTCAGCCGCTGCCCTGCCGATATATCTCAGTCAGTAATAGGCCGGCTATGGGCGCCCCGGCGAGCGGCGAGAGGGTCGCGGTGGGGGGGGGGGGCTGCTCTGTGAAGTGATTGTCGCTCGACTCGCCTGCATTTGCAACGCGGATGGAGACCGTATTAGGCCTGATTAGGCAGGCGCTCTGGCCCGGCCCTATAGAGTTGGATTCAAATTTAACCCCTACTCCCTTTCCCTGTCCTCAACAACTGGTCTTGTGTCATTTTCCACTGTCAAAAATCCGATATTCTCCCGAGAAAAAATGTGCATAAAATCGTAAAATTCGACACGTTAAGCAGGGAATAACTTTAGAACGTTGATCGCAAACGAGTACTTATCATGCTGATGTGACAAAGTTTCTGACCTCTACTGTACTTACATTATAACATCGACATGACACGGCAGGACGTGGACTTGACCAGCAGCGTTGTGACGAGTATGACGCAGACACGGCCGGCGTAGGACGTGAACATGAAACGCGCGTGTGTGAATGGTCATGGTCACCGACCCCACTGCCACGGCATGCCCGATAGGGCTTTCACTGCGATAAACTCACTGGAAAACCTGTCCCGACGTTGACAAGCACTGAACAAATTAATCAAACACTATGAGAATCCATCATAGGAGGCACAGACTGACGCTCTGGGTGCCCGGCCCGTCTGAAATCTTTGGACGACGAGGGGTCGAGCACTTTGATAGCCCAGGTACAAACCTAAGAGAAACCCTGACATTCCAGCAAAAATTTAGCAGAAATTCTAAAAGAAATTCAGATAATCCAAAAAAAATTCCACATATTACAAAAATATTCCATATAATACAAACATATTCCCCACATATTCCATGTAAACCAAAAATCCGAGCGGTCCGGTCCCGTCGTCTTTGGAGGGAGTCCTGCGTGGGAACCAAACCAGCGAGCCGAATGGGTGGCCTACCCTCCCGGCTCGTCGTGTGGCCCCGCCACCACCCTCCTCCTCCTCCCTTAGCGTCACATTGGTTGCCGGCCTCCAGGCGGAGCTAGTGCTCCGCTCCGCTCCGCAGACTTCTCGGCTAGACCAGTAAAAGTGGCCAGGAGCGAAATGTCTGCTCGGCCCGATCAGGCGTCGGTCGCTTGTCCGCAATATGATTCGTCTTCTTGCGCTCGGCCTGCCGCCGTGTGCGAGAGTGCTCTCCTTACATTTTACGGGATAATCTTAGGCGCGCAACGCTGGGTTGGACGCGTTATGGAATTAATATACCCGACACATGTGGGGCGCGGGTGGCCGCGGCCCCGCCCCGCCCCCTCCACAGCACCCCTGCAGCCAGGATGAACTTTGATTGCATCTCCTCTTGACCAAATGTCACGTGAGCAGACCTGCGGCGGCGGCGGTGGCGCTTTAGCGCATCCTTGGAAAGTAGGAGTAGTAATGGATTTGGCTCCCCACGCACGCGCGCTCGCCCGGTCGCACGTACCGCTGCTGCTGCTGCTGGCGTTCGCAAGTCGATCAATTACAATTTTAAGTAGTCGGGATCGATACGTGTGTGGGCGTTGCGACGGTGAGGTTTATGGCTAGGGCACATTGTCTTCAGGAAAGGCGATTAAATAAGCGGTACGGTGCAACGGTGCATCCGTAAGTGGTGTCATATCAGATAGCCTTCTATAGTTGACGTCATGACACAGCACGGCCAAGAAGAGATATACAATCCAAACTAAGCGCATAAACTGGTCTCGTTGTGAGAAAGTATCCCCGAGACATGTGTATTTTTTGAGGTGCATCTTCGGGCTGCTGCGTTGGTGGAGGTGGTTCAAGTTAGGTTCACACAAGTTTAGAGAGAGCAAGGTTGACCAATGGCATGCTGACTCCAG